AAATCCACAAACATCAAATCTTAGCTTGTTTCTGAATATAACCACACACTATATGGATATAAAACATTTTGTGGAAAATAAATGAAAAATAAATAAATATGGAATTAAGAGGTTTTGAGTTCGAGCTTTTTAAGTAAAAAATCATTTTTGTTTGGAAATATTTCTTGGGTATGGAATCGTTTAGTTACATTTTTCTTGCTCTATGATAGAACTTGTTTAACTAAGGATGAGAAATTATAATAATTTTAGAAAATAAAATATAAAATTATTTTATTTTGTAATTGATTAGAAGTAAAACGACGAGAGTACTTTTATTTTTTGTTTACGTTCTCTCTTGTTTTTTGTACTTTTTTTGTTCTACTTTTTCGTAATGATGATGAAGATACAAAATTTTGGTGGGTATATCGTATATAAATAAAAGGTCTTTACGCTTTTAAAAATAATTTTCGTATTTAAAATTACACTATAAAAAATAAATTTTAAAAGTTTAACAATGTAGAATATATTTTTAAAAAGTTAATATTTGACTTTCCATATACCATTTTTAATTCATATATTGTAGTATTATTATTATGTTTTCTTTATTCATATCAATAGGAGACGAACGTTATGTATACAGAAACACATTCTAATTCTAACTTTGATAGATACCATTTGACAATTAACAATTTAGCTGATATGGATTGAAGATTCTATGATCAGATAAGATATCAATTGTTTTTTTCTTACTTATTTAATTTGCTGTGATTATTTATCTATATCACCTCACATTATTTAAATAGTAATTTCTTTATTTTAAAAAAACAATTTAGTTTGATTTGAAATCGAATTTAAGAATAAAAAGAAGATTTTTTAATTTTGTGGTCTAAATTAAAGTTATGTCAACTGTATCAAAATGTCCTTTAATATTGTGATTTTAAACATGTCATGTGAAAAATTAAAGTTAAAGTGTTGCCAAAAAAAGAAAGAGTTCATTCTTTTTTAAACAGACTAAAAAAGAAATATGATAATTCTTTTTAAACGGATAGAGTAATAACTCGTGTATATAATCTCATACTCCCTCCATTTTTAATTATTTGTTCATTTTTAAATGACAGTCGCACACCTATTAAGAAAATAATGATTGATATAGTAAATTTATCATTCTACGTCGATAATTTATGAAGTAAATATATATTTAAAAAAACTAAAGAGTTTGAAGAAGTTTTACACGTTTTAAAGTAATTAATTGAAGGTATAATAGGTTTAAAAAATTGTTCTTTTTAAATCTGTCAAAACTGACAAGTATTTAGGGACAACTAAAAAAAAG